TCTTGTTTCATACACAGACACCGCAATCCACCAAAGTTTATTTTACAGAACATCTATTGCCAAAGTAATTTAAAGACTCAAGGTAGCAAGCTGCACCACGGAATAGCTGTTGCACCTAAATGTTATGAATTTGTCAGCTTTCAAAAACGAGACATTATGCATGTTTCAAATAACATGAATGTATGAATAGATCAGCTTGGTTGAGTCGGATAAGCTGTCCTGAGACAACAAATGCACCTTTGTTTCCTGAAATACTATCCACAAACCCAATTTCTGGGTAAAGGCAAAAGTTGAAAAATGTTATAAAATCTACCTTCAGACTTTAGAAGCCTTGCAAGAAAATGTACTGCAAATAGAGAGAAAAAATACTAAATAACAGTTTACCAAACAAGAATATAACTTGTAACTTTTGTAGTCTCCTGAATAGTTGACTAGATTGAAAACAGAGGAAAAGTCACTGATTGTTTGCTCTGAATATACAAGCCCTTCACAAAGAAGTTGTCATGCTACCTTGCATTGGACTCTTGATACACAACCCCCTCTTGCCATACCATGTACTGTTCCTAATATTTCAGACCTTTTATATTGATACATAAGCATCAGAAAAATTAAGAGACCTAAGAGAGCAATGCTTAAGTGACTGCGATGAGGGAGAGGGGGCAGAGCAAATATCATCCTCTTCCCATTTTGTCTCCTCTTCTTTAAATGCTGTCACTATTGATAAGGTAAAGTTGAGATCAGAATGCTGCAGCAGTGTAGGAAGAATAAAAGGACACGGAATGGTGGCCTTGTCACAATTGTGGAGTCTTTATTAACAGAAGAAAGTTGTTAGTTCTTTCCCACTTTTAGCTCAGAAAAAAAAAAAATATCAATGTCTGTTTCTACTGAAGTAGGAAATTGTGAACTGGACAATGCAACTGGAGAAGGGAAGAGATGAAGCTGAAAAGAGCCTCTTCCTACAGAAGCAAGTTGTCATATGGCTCAGTCAGTCCTCCCCTGAAACCTCACCCTTAGGTAAGTTAAAACGGATGGCAAAACACTGGCTGAAGAGAGTGATGCATAGCTCTGGCTTCAGACTGTCATCCTCCTGACAACTGCCATAGATGATTATGCCACCCTGAGGAGCAGATTGCTTTGCACCGCTTGGATTTCTAAGGCATAATCTCTGATACCAGAATAGTTCACTCTACAAATCAGACACAGATCAGATATCTGGTTTCCATCAAATTCAGAACCTATGTGATTGTTTAAGCAGCAGGTGGAAAAGGTAGCATAATAGAAACAAACATATACTATAAAGCCTTTGTAAAGGACTCCTTTTGTTGTTTAAAAAAAAGTTGTGACCACATATCAGGAGAGCACTTTGCAGCATGCAGCCATGACGTTCTTCCTTCAGTACTAGGCAGCCCCAAACTATATTTAGCCTCCTCTATAACCATAGTGTCATGTAGATAAAGCAGACTGAAAGAACCTATAAAAGCTCACAGCTGACTTTATGCACAGCAAACCTTAACAGGGACTGTAAGAAAAAACACAGATCTCAACTATTCTAATACCCTGCCCTTTACTGAGAAACACTTTCCAAACCATCAGTCAATACATTCGCTTGACCTAGTCTCCAAAATTTCCTCCTCCTTAAAAACACTCTATCTGCATGGTGGCTGCACTGAGTTACCAATGCCACAGGAGGAGAGGTGGCTGATGAGATCACTTCAGCAACAGCACCATTTGACACAGCCTCGCCTTCATCAGCCACTTGTTCCTGGTCTTGTATTGCCTCCTACTGATGCTGCTTTTTGTAGAGTACAGCTGTAAAGCAATCCAGCTGAAAAAAATGGTGGAAATAGGAATATTTTCAGTGTATCTTAGCTAATTGGTCCCCCGACCCACTTGACTACACAGTGCAGCGAAGGTGCCTCAGAGCACCGAGTCACCAAAAAAGCACCACCACTGCCACTAGTTATTTTAGGCATCTGAAATAACTCACTTTAAAAACTAAGGCATCTGAAATAACTCACTTTAAAAACCAAGTCCCGCATTCTGGATCAAAAAAGGTAGACCTTGTCATCTTCTCAGGAAACTGCTGACAATCTGCAGGACGTTTAGCAATTTGCTAATGCAATTTTTATACTGTATACGTACACACATCTTATACACATAAACATTTCAGTAAAATGACAGTATTTAATTCTTTCAGTGCTGGCTTTTATGCTTGTACTTCTAAAGTGTCTGCATTATCTCCCCGACATTTTGTACACAGTTCCTTGAAATACAGCTACTACAGCACTTTGCAGGTAGGTGGCAGAGTTACAGTGGTGGGAAGTTTCAACTAGGCAGTTTCATAATAGCACAATTACAGAATTTAAAAAAACCCAACCAAACCACAACTCTGACAGTGCCATTTAAGTTATACAGTTAGATTTCCTCCAGTTTCTTTAATCTACTGCAACCTTTTCGCACTCAATCACAACATAAAGAAATTTTTTTTGACAAAGACCAGTGAAATATGGTATTATTAGAATGCTGTTTAGAAGATCAATTACTACTTTGAAAATCCCTCTAAGGACTTTTAAAATATGTATTTCAGCCAAAATCAAGTACGTTTAAAGTAATTTTCTATTGTAAAGAAACATGAATTACTTTTTCCATCAACTCAAACAGAAATGTGGTTTAGATTCAGCAATATGAATCAAATACTCAGTGGCAACTAAAAGTTTCATATTTTCATTTAAAAAAGAGTTGCTCAAAGCAGATCTAAAGCAAATTACAAATAAAAACTTGCAGTACCCATATATGTGTTCAAATCCCCCGAATGTAGAACTTCCCTGCTGTAACCATGAGGTTACATTCATGTTGCATATTTAGCCAAGTTCCTGCTCTCTGTCTACAAGCAAGCTTTTAACCTGGATTATAGATCCCACCTAACCAGGCTCTCAAAAATCTTTGGTGGGACATAGAGAGCTCTGCCCCACCTAAGTGAGTTGTGACATTGTACACAATACACTGGTAATTGACTAAGAGCTACCTTCCAGTTAAGACTGGGGTTTATTCCTTCCCTATCCTCCATTTCACCTCAAAATCAAACAGGATGTCTTAAAATATCTGGAGTTTAAGTGAATGTTTGACTTTATCCTGGACGCCATTGAAGGAAATACCTCACACAGCCAGTACTATTTCAGGAAGGAAGGAACTGCTAAATAAAAGATCAGTGCAGCATCTGCCGTCTCTCACTTGAGATTCAAATTTTTATCTGGTCACAAAAGCAACAGATTAATAAATCTGTAAAACAAAGATCAGGGCTAGGTCATAGAAGCACAAATAACAGACTATTTAGTTGTGAAAATCATATTCTCTTATGGAGGAAGGAGCAAAGGCAGAACTCACACAGAGTGAGGAGAGGGTATGGCAAGTGCAGCAATGGTAGGCTTGATGAATGAGGCAGAGTATGGCTGTGCACCTAAAGACTGAAAATAAACTGACTCTGAAGCTAGACCTTTAAACAGAAGTATTTTGCCAGTTTGATTATCTCCAGGAAAATCAGCCTGCTTTCCCACTGGCAGCTACTTGGAAGTTATCTGATTTACAAACAAGCATGTTAAAAATAGCACTGTGCTTACTGTACAGAAAAAACTAAACAATTTTTTTTTCACATTTAAACCCAAGAAGCTCCCCTCCACAATTCCCCACAACACGTATTAAGCAAAATAAAGCCTACATCATTAAAATAGTAAAGAAATAAAACCTGACTGTTCATTTCATTCCATTCCTGGTTAAACACATCCATGAACACTTTCCTCTGCATGAATCAATTTTAAAGTAGTCCTATCTAAATGCTAACATTTAGATAAGTTTGATACCAAAATCTAGACTCATTTATCTAATAAAATAAAAAAAATTGAGAGCAGCAGCTATTTTTTAGCAGGGCTATAACCAACTTAATGGAATTTTTAAAGTATAAGGATATTAATGGCATGTAATTTGGTAATACGTGATCTATACATCTTACCAAGTCTCATTAACTGTCAATGTATGTGAAAACAGAAGATGCACTGGTATTTCCTCCAACACCTGTGTAGCTCTTTACCTGAGCAACAGAGTACCTTTTCCGTAACAGTAAAGTAACAATAAACACACTGTATTTTTCCAGAAAATCTAAATTTTCTCTCACACTGAGTTCTTCTTATTTGATTTTAGCACACTACAACCTAGTGTAATTACTTTGAAAAGAACAGATCTCCTTTCTTATGCCCAAGTTATCACAACAGACACATATCACAATTTGTGGGCAATTACGCAATGTGGATCCCATCTTGGAGAAAGCTGGACAAAGGTTATGCCCTGTATTGATGACTGGTACTTGAAAAGGCAACATACTACAGGACCAGTGCTGTAATGATTTCCATCCTTGAAATGAGAGATATTTTAAAAACACAAGCTTTCAGGGCAACAAACTCTTCCATCTGTCATCGCATGTTATTGCCAAGTAATATACACCTAACTGTAGCTAATCACATAAAGGGCATTTGATATGCAATCATGCAGGATTTTAACCTATGGACACATCATAAAGCATGATAGATGAGTACCATTTTAAGAGGCATAAAAGGCTACTGAAAGTACATATGAAAATGAAAATTCTTGTTTACTTTATTAAAACTTGGAAAAGATGTTAAACAAAACTGTTTTATTTCCATTCTGTGCATATGTGTTCTCTAATTTTAATAATAAAAGAATCAGTCTTACTTTCAATTATTTAGGTCCTATAATATTTCTGTTGCAGACAGCAGCGAAATATTTTTTTGTTCTCTTTGTGAATTAAAGTCAGATTGACACTCTTTTTACTTGCAGAAGTTTCCTGAAGGCTTGGTGTTGATTTCAGCACATAAAATTTTTGAGGTTACATGTGCAAAGTCCATTTTCGCTAATTACCAGATGTTAAAAGCAAAATGAATCAGTGCAACAGAAGTAATTTTACAGAAGGATTTAAAGGATACAATAAGTTTACAGACTCCTTTGGTTATATTTACTAAAAGAGAAGTTACACTGACAAAGACCACAGTACACAAAACATACGGTTTAATTATTTTTAGGGTTTCCTTCAGTGTTTTCGGCGCTTACAATATAAAAGATGAAGACCCTCCCCTCCTCAAGAAAACAGATAACCAGAGACAATTAGTCTACTCAAAGGCACTCAGCTTGCTTTTTAAGTTAAGGAGACACCACGTTGATACTCGTTTCATCATCTGCTGGCCTAACAGTCTTTTCAAATTCCATTCAACACAATAAATAATACTCAGTGACCAAGCACAAAATATGTGGGAAATTTATTTTGTTGAGTAAAATATTCATGATCTTACAAAACTGATTCTACCAGACAAGGCCTTTGGCCAATTTTGATTTTTTTTTCCCTTTAACACGCTGTGCCTTAAGCTTCTTTCTTTGCCTGGAATTCATCCATATCGGGTACTGTCCATGCTGATCTAGAAGAGTTTTTTTGTTCCGCTTATTATCCAGGTCCATTTTGCCATCATCTGAAAATGAAAGGTATTTAGAGTGAGTAAAATACCTGAATCAGCTTCATAGATGTTCTTTTGTTTTTAGATTCCCCAAAATATCCCCTAGACACAACAGTACTTATACATAGAAAGCTGAACGGTTTATATACAGAAAGTGCTTTCCCAACCAACGCAACCGCAGCCCGGGAACTTCAACAGTTGATAGTAAATGTGCAGAATTTTCCATAAAGGCCCTTGTCTGGGCAAAGCATCTTATTCTTTAGTCTGCCATCTGTTCCAATACTGTGTCTAAAAATATTGTGTGTGGTCTCCACCACAGAGACACACAACCATACAGGAAGCCATGGGCTTACTGAAACATATGCACAATCACACACTTTTTATGATGTAATGTTTAAGATCTGTTCTAAAAAATTAAATTAATCTGAGTGGAAGATGAAGACAGGTAAAGAGAATAATAAAGAAAAAAGCTGAAATACGACAGTACAAACAGTGAGCCAGGGATGCCACACTTGCCTCAAGGAGCAAGTATGACATCAAGTCTAACATATTTACAGGCAGAAAGACAGGCTTAATCTCTAGGATCAGGAAGACTGCCCATGACCTGCTCACTCTCAAAAACAGCATCCCTAGCTAGCTAACACCCCATGAACGTTGTGCCTTGGTGAAACAACAAGGCTGCAAGAGGAACACCTTGCTACGTACTGATTGGAACTGTGCTCTGTAATTTCATTTCAACCTTGTTTCCAAACTATCCGTATGCAACTCAAAGCTTTATCACATTGTGCCTGTATGTTGTTAGGAGATAAAGCTCATGAGGAAAATGCTAATGTGCTGCTTCTATGGTTGAAGCATTGCTGACAGTCTACAGTAATGCATCACAGACGTGCTCAGGGAGCCCTAAGTTGGGATACAAATACTTGCAGTCAGCAGAGAATCACCCTCAGGGCCCTACTGCCTAGTTGCAGAACCAAAGGCTGATCCAGCATGGGACAGGCAGCAAAAACGTTCCAGCTCCAGAAACCTCACAGGGTATCAGAGAAACACGAGGCCTTCTTAACAAATGACAGAGGAGATACAGCCTCCAATAACACAACAACAAAAACCCAGCAGCACACACATAAGCTTCTTCTCAAATTCCTGTCCTATCACGACAGGTTAATCTGTTACACAGATTAAAAGCACATTCACAATAAATGTCTGCTGCAACATAAACTAAATGAACACTCTTGGACAAAAAATACCAGTTGTTCACACAGCATAATGTTTTCATTGTATTTTGCAACCTCAAGGATGCTGTAGGAATCAGTAACAGGAAGAAACCCACTGAGCAGAAGCTGTCCAGGGACATAAAGAAAATCTATCAAAGGGGTTAAAGACAGAGAGAAGGACCAAGAAAAAAAAACTATAAAGGTTGGTTATTGAAGCGACTCAATAGATACGACTATCTTGAAAAATATGTACATCCCCACAAAGTTTTAAAAACGGCTACAAAACCACTATTGACCAAAGGCTAACCAGACCTTTCATTATTTTTTTCCTAACAATACAGACTGAAAAAAAAATTAAAAAAGGAATTCACAGGGTGCTGTGAAAAATACCTTAAGAGTAACACAGTAAAATGTCCCTAATATATACTTGTAACACTTGGTGATGCAAACTCCCTTATGTCCACACTTACTGCTGAAAAGTCCTTTCAAAGAAGACATCGTTATTTTCACAAAACTTGTAGTTGTTTGTGAAAGACATATATTCTTGGGTATTTCTGAGGCTGTTATCTCTCTGCAAAAGCCAAGTGACAATGGCCACTTGTAGAGAAGTTGCCAGCAGAGCTGGAAGGAGGTGCAGGAATGACAGACAGCCAGGCATTTGCTTCAGAAAGAAGGTTTAAAGCAATGATTTTTCCTCCAGATTCAGCATCAGAAGACTGACAACATTTAAAAAACTTTTACCTGGGTTATAGAACAAATGAGAACCATGGATAAAAATTCATATTATAATTTAAGCTATCCTTAACTAGGAAGGTGGTTTTATATAGCATTCTCTTTCCATTTTCAACATCATAACATCTTAAGTGCCATAAACTAGAGAAGTAAAAAAGACTACGATTTAGTTTGGACTTCAGTTTTTGGAAGAGAAAGCGTCTTTGTGACTCCTGTCCAGTATGCAGCTTTTTTCCACTTGCTGGGTAACTGCCCACTTTCTTTACTGATTACTTTCTATTTAAGGCAGAAAGAGGAATATGGCGTTATCTGTAGACACCTAATACCACCCATTCCTGCGCCACGTGCAATGCATCACTAATTAGTAAACCAAAACTAGCTCCGTACTTTCCCTACTTTGAGACAGTACATTTAAATAACAAAACACCACTATATTCTTGATAAAAATTTCAATGAAATTACTTTAGATTTAGTTTATATGTTTAGTGTCCTTCTTAAATTAGGGCGCAAATTATATCCTACCTCTTGTTTAGCAGCAAATATAATGCTGAGATTGGAACAACTGCTAAGCGATGAATCTTCACTCACCTGATGTTTTCAGAGATGTCTCTCTATAAGGTACTACACAGTACATCTCCATAAAATACATTACATATTTTACATACTAAGAATCAGATGTTAATAACTTTGTTCCACAAGTGCCCGCATGCAATATGGATGCCAACGCTGCGAAATGACCAGATTCAGTGCTTTAACAGCATCTTTTAGCTTTAAAAGATAAAAGTTTTCCAACTCACTATTCTCAGCCTGTAATACTCATACGCCTGATCCCCACAGCGTAAGCAACAGGAACAGTCACAACACCGCAGGACGTTCCTGCACCTGGGGGACTTCAGGAAAAACCACCCAGAGCCCAACTCACCCCTCTGTTCCAGCACTTTCTTGGGGGGCACCACGGTCGCCACCTCCTTGACCTCCTCCATGACAACATCCGCGTTGGTTCCCAAGATCTTCTTCAGCCTCTCCAGCTCCTTGGGCGCGTTCTTCTTCCTCTTCTCCGCCCGCATCTTCCTCCTCCATTTGCTCCGGAGGCTCTTGGCCATGTCCTGCGCGGAGGGCAGCGGGCGCGGTGAGCGCGCGGGGCTGCACGCACGCGCCGTCACCGCCCCCCCCCCACTCACCTGCCCGCGCACCGAGGCCGCCGCCACACCGGAGCCAGGCCGCGCCCGGCCCGCGGGGCATGCGCAGGATGACGCTCCAGGTCCCGCCCCTGGGCGCGGGTTCCCGACCTCCGGCCGGGCCGGGCAGGCGGCGGGCCCTACCGTAACTCTCCGAGCGAGCGCGCAGTACCCCCATCGCGCCCCGCGCCGGCTGCGCTGCGGGATCTTATCCAACCACCGGGGCGTGCCGAGGGCGTGGGGATGGATGAACAAATAAACACGTGCTTCATCACAGGAAAAAAAAGCGAGCTTTTATTCTTCGCTACTGCCACGCATTTCTAAATCAGGCAGAAGAGAGAAAGCATCACAGTTGCTCAAACCAACCCGCAGTTGCACTTCAATAGCATGAGTCCCGTTCCATCACGGAAAACACACCTTGTCACAGCTTGTGGCAGGACACGGATGATTTCCCAATTACTGCGTTGCCTCGTCACTAAGTCTCACTGACAGGCCAGGAGAGCAGTAACGACACTGCGAAGGAAGTAAGAAAGCCTTTCAAAATTGTTTTTACCCTGCCTGCCCTTCTAGGATCTCCACAGTTTGGGAAGTAGCGACAGTCATGGCACCTCTCCCCAGCCAGCAAGGGTCTGCAAAGGTCATTCTTGGCACCCTGAAGTTCTCCAGTCTTGGCAGCAAGAACAGACAAAAGGCTTTCCAATTTTTATTGACACAATTAACCTTAACATACAGAAGTTGATAAAATCCCAGAATCTATCTCCACATGATTTTTCAGGACACCGAAAGATAGGCCATAAATAATACTAAAATTAAAAACATTCTTAACACCCTCACAGCTCCATAGTGACAGCCCTTAACAAGAACAGAGTATCTGTCAGGGACAGATAACAAAAACTAAACAAAACAAATAACAAAACCAAAAAACAGAAAAATATTTAGCTTAGTAATATTTAGCTTAGCACAATGGCAAGCTCAGCCTACCCTTATGTGATACACACATTTATGATCAATCCCAAAGGAAACATTTCCAGCAGCTACAGAACAGCTGTAACTTACTCTGGAGCAATAAGAAGTTGGCAAACTTTTTCATCATTAATTATGTCAAGTGCAAATTAAGAGATTAAAAAAGTGACTGTAATGATGACAGCATGTTAACTGCATAAAATACATGATCTAGAGAAGAACTGTAGCTACATAAAAAGACTTTTTTTCTCCCCTAAGGAGGGATTAGTATTCATGGAATGAAAAAATAATATAGATTCAGTCTCTAGAAGACAGAACTACTGAGTTTGCAGATCATCCAAATTGTGCTATAGTTAAACCACACCACTTTTGGCTATTTTTTATTAAATGTTTCCAGTAAACGCAGCAGGTGTAAGAACAGATTGATGATGTCCAAGTAGAGATTGATTGCAGCCAGTATGTACTCTTCAGGGGACAATTTGTGCATCAGCAAGTGAGTGTCATAAATAATAAATCCACAGAACAGAAGAGCTCCAGCAGCAGCAAACACCAACTCTATTGTCTCACTATAGAAAAACAGCTGGAGGCAGACAAAATATGAAAAAAAAATGGTAAATTTCATTTTCTTTTTAATATTAAAACTATGCATAATGATATGCCACACTTATAACACAGTCCTCCTACTGTTATGTACACACAAACACGGTTTTATGATGGCATTTCAATGTCCTTATTCCATGTATTCCCCAGTCACTGTCTCTTTAACTGAGTAAAAGTGCCTCCACACCTAAGAGGGCGGAAACTCTGGTCTGCAGGGTATTAACAACAATTAGAAAAACAAAATACAGCTAAAACCCAAATGATCTCCTTCCCATTCTCTCAATCAAGTAGTGGATCTCGACTGATAAATTTTGTCAATCACACAAATACTCCTTTAATATTGGCAAGAACAGCACCCACCAAAAATCCAAATTGGAAATGACTGGTTAAAAGATCACCAGTGCGATCTAGAATAGCCATGAATCTGGTTAGGAATTTTCCTTAAGTTACATTGAGCTGTCCAAAACCTTTTTGTTCTACCAGAAGTTAGTAAAAGCTCAGGCTCTGAGCAACCTGGTCTAGTGGAAGGTGTCCCTGCCCATGGCAAGTGGGGTTGGAACAAGATGATCTTTAAGGTCCCTTCCAACCCAAATCACTCTGTGATTCTATGAATATCTTGTAACCATGAACACAAGGTATCTTACCCTCAAGAAACCTGAGAGGATTAAAATCCACAAACAAGCAAAGAGTCTGAAAAAAAAATTATAAATTGTGAGCAACAATATACTTTCTTTTAAACTTAAAATATCCTCCCTTCTTACAAAACCTCTTCTTAGATGTTAACTGTTCATTGGTGTCAGCAGTAAGTTTTATAAAGTTGTCAAAAGTTACTTTCTAACTTTAATTTTTTTAAAAATATTTGAAACAGCTGCCTTCTGTCTCAGTGAAAACTCCAGGTAAACTAGTTTTCTAGTGGTTTTAAGAATCATAATCACAGAAAAAAATTTACCAGAAAAGCAGAACTGTGTAAAATTAATAATTTAAGATAAATAAAACCCTCACCATTCCCTTGAAGCAGGTTCTTTTGACCTGTATTCCTTATTATAGCTGCAAATCTTGCTTTAAGAAAGAAAAAACAACCTTAACAGAAAAGAATTTTCAAAAAATCATCAATATGACAACATACCCTGCTCCAAACTTGCTGAAGTCTCTCTTTGACTGCAAAGTATATGCAGTCAACCCAAGAAATACAGCAGTAGTAAGAATAAAGGCTTGCAAGACGATGGAGACATCGTAGAAACTAACTATAAACAGAAAAAGTAATCTGTCAATTAAAGAACACTACATCATGTATTTGCTACATTATCTTTTGAGGAAACAGAAGTTTAAACTTTCACAGACAGGAAAAAAAATCTTAACTGTGAACAAAAAAAAGTAAACTATAGCTGAACTTGTCTTTGCACTACGAATTCATGATCATAGGATTCAGGGGCCTTGCACTGAGTTTGACAGTTACTTGATAGCTGTAGCTTCTTATATGGAAATAACAGGTCTTCCCTACTTACAATTAAAAAAACACTGCCAAAACAAAACAAAAATATTTTAAGCATAGGTGAGATCTTAAGGGAAAAGCTATCTGAATTTTTCATGATATTGAAGCAAGGGGAAAAAACAAAATTCTCTCCAAAGGCTCAAAGTTTTGATTAGGGGATAGGAGGGGAAAGGTTACAGAAATGAGTGGAACCTTTTTCTTCCCTCCTTCCTCCTTGATCTTTCTTTTCCCCAAATGACTTTTTTTTTGCAGGTCATAAGCCACGATGAAGAGGTTTCAGCATATGCTGGAAACTATAATGCAAAGTGATGCCACGATTTGTCCACACACCACCCCATTTCACAACCCTAACCATGAAGTACAGAACTCTCCAAACTCAAATTCCCTTTGAGGAAACTGAGGGGAAAGATAGGGATATTTCAACTTTAAGTTCAGCTCTGCTAACAGCTGCCTTATAGGAAAGAACATTGATAGCTATACTGAAAGAATTCATGGCACAATTCATTTCTCACTTCAGGCTGAAACTACAGTTTCAGTTCTTGATCAGAATCCAGTTTTCTCCCTTGATTTCCTGTTTTTTTGCTAAACTCATATCACTGTCATTAAAATTTTCAAACAGGATCATTTTAGTCACATCTAAAAAACTCTAATGGCAACTCATACAACAGACTGCATTCCTTTTCCAAATTCTTTATGGAATCAGACAATAGGATGGCTACCATTTACCTGTAGTGGCAACTGTCAGTGCTTCCAGCAGCGTCTACAAAAAGCAAAATCAAAAAATTACATGGATTAAAAAAACAGACCACAAAACACTTACTTGGAGACTTCACATGCAGTGAGTCCCATTCTGCTACATAATCCCAGCACATTACATTAGGTCTCCTGTTAAATCTTTGTACATGAAAATATATCTAGTTTTCAACAAGAAAATGGCAATCGCACTGTCTTACTGTGTGGAACTTGTGTTTCATAAAAAGTAACTTGTGTTACTTGTTTACATACAAACTGAAAATGAGTGAGAGACCGCCCCTATAGAAAAATGCCATTTACATTTTCTACTCAAAGCACACAGCATTCTTATTACATTTCTTACAAACTATTCAAGAAGCTATACAATTAATACACTCTTAATATCTTGTTAGACAGCTGTCTAACAGTAACATAAAGTCACTGCATCAGCTTCCTTTTCCCACTAATCCTTGTTTTGAAACAGCTAATTTTAAAACACATTTTGAATGTCTGGGATGAAGGCTAGTATGGACCCTGAGTTTTTCTAAATGATAATTTCAAATTGAGTTTCAACATAATAGAACATGAGAAAACTCTCTATGTCATGAACCAAGGGCTCAGAAATAACAGAATATTTAACCCATATTTTGTTTAAACCAATTTATCACACAGACATTTGAATTTTTCCATTCCTATGTAATGTAATACTTAAACTGTTATTTTACAAACTCCCACACCACATTTGGCCAAACTGTTACATCACTCCTTGTTACACTTTCACTTGTTAAAAGTTTTTAAACGTTTTATTCACCTGCAAGAGTTCAAAAGTCAGGAAGCATATAACTGTGTCACCATTTAAGCAGTCTATTACTTATACAGCAAAGCTGTCTTTCCGTTTTACACAAATACAATTTAGGCAACTTCTAAAGCATCAAATTCTAACTGAGCTACTGTGACTCTTCAGAAGATTGATTTCTACATTATCCAAAATATCCAAGAGCAATCATTAGCCCATATCTAAAAGCTCACAAAATCAGGCAGAAGACTGAAATTTAAGGACAGCTTCGACTCACCTGCCTGTGCTGGAAACATGCTCAGAATTTAGCATCAAAAAGACAACAATTGAAGAAATAAAAACATAGGGCTGCTTTGGGCCTCTGCTGGAGGCCATCCATTAGGCAAAGAAGGTAACAGGAATGCCTCCTCCTTTCCTACTGAGCAGTTTCATAGACAAATGCCTAACATCAACAGAACAACAAGAGC